GACATGGTGGCCGCAAAACAAATAAAGGTATACAACATTTCACATCCGATGTTTTCTTCCACTTCCAGTTCCTATTCTTATTCATTTGAAAGGTTCTGTCCCAATTTAGTGGAATGGTATGATTTAGTAATTGTTTTTGAAACAGGTTGGCGGCTAGACTACTTCCTCGTCTCAGAATCCATTGCTGACAAGGTTTATGATTCATACATTCTTCCTGATGTTACCGGTAGTGATCATTGCCCTGTTGGCCTTATACTGGCACTCTAGTTAAACCGTCAGTATTTTAGCTATTGTTCAGACTACCAGATGGATTATCAACCCAAAAAACCAACTTCCAAGAAACTTGATGGTGCGGACAGTTGGAAAAAGCAGATATAAGTGACCATTTTGCTGCCCTAATCCCAGTGAGGAAAACTGCTTCATAGCTTAAGTTATGCTATCAGCTCTGGTTTTCTTTCCCCCATGAACAAATTTATCAAATATTTTGCAAGGTCACCTCCCATATGGGAAGGGGGTAGAACTTGAATTTCCAGAGCTTTCACTGAAATTTTAATTAGTCAGTGTTTGTACAGTCTATTTTCCTGATATGATATCCACTTGGTAGTGGTTGTCTAAAATTTTCCCTTTAACAATATTTGATTCAATCAATCACACCGTACATCCTAGGGATGTGGTCACGTTGTCTGAATATTTTTCTTACTAAAAAAACACTAATCTCGTTATCAAGAGTTTGATAACCAAGAATATGGGGAGAGTCAAACCTGAAAACACTTATAATGTGTGCTTATTTAATGGATGGATACGGTAGCTCATCACTATTTTAAGATTTTGCATGGCATACTAACGAAAAAAAAAAAAAAAAAAGAATCGAAAATTATTCATTTCATCACCTTGGTTGCAACTAGAGTAATTGTAATTCGAGAATGTTCTGCCAACACCTCATAAGTTTATAAAATATTTTGTAGTTTAGATTATATCAAAAAAATATTTTATAATTTAAATTAATTTGAATGATAAAATATTAATTATTTAATAAAAGATTAAGTTTTTTGACACTGTAAGTTATTTTCTCATATGGTTTTTGTTTTATAGGTAGAAATCGGATTCTAAAATTATATCACATTATAAACCTAATAAATGTTGAAGTTAAGTGTTTTTTTTTATATGCATCGAGCCTTTCGGGTCAAGTGGCAATAGCCACTCATGCTGCATTTCTCCCTCCCCAGGGTTGGGGTTCGAATCCAGCCCTTTGTAAAATCTGTTCAAAAAAAAAAAAAGTATTCTTTTT